AGATGTTGTGTCCACTGAAAACTGAAAAATAAATATTGAAAACTTTCTCTCTCTCTCTCTCTTTAAAAAAAAATTAATTTTCTTTAAAAGCATGAATAAGATGCAGTCACCATGGTTTGAGTCTTAGAGTATGGTGAAACAAGATAATTATAATATGAATATGAGCTATGAGATTCACTAGATATGAGGTAGATCATTGCCTGGCTTTGACCAGATAGTCATAGGTGGGGACAACTACCTATTCTAAGTGTACCTAGGAAGGTTAGAAGAGGCAGGCTGGTGATGTATAGAGGGAAGAGGGAAGAGATGAGGTTGGAAAAGTAAGCCAACTTTGGGGCTGACCACCTAGGTCCTGTCAAGGACTTCACAGTTTACCCTCAAAACAAATTGGAATCATTGTAAGGTATTATTAATCAAGTAATAACATGATCAGGTTAGGTTTTTTTGTTTGTTTTTAAATGAACTGTTACTCTGGCTTATTTGTAGGAAGTACATTTTGGGGTCGTTCTTACACCATTTCCTCATGGGAAACTGTTCTTCAGATTGTTTTATTGTTGATAGTATTTGCCAGGTGTGGTATATCCAGCTACAGGGGAGGCTAGGCAGGAGCAAGTTCAAAGCCAGTCTCAGCAACTTAGACTCTCTCTCAAAATTAAGTATTAAGAAAGGGTTGGGGATCTGAGCCTGGGGTTGTGGCTCAGCAGTAGAGTTCTCGCCTAGCATGTGCAAGTCCCTGGGTTCCATCCTCAGTACCACATTAAAATAAATAAATAAAACAAAGGTTTTGCATCTAACTACAACAAAAGGTGGGGATTACGGATGTGGCTCAGTGACAGAGTCTTATCTAGCATATACAGGTGCTTGGGTTCTGTCCCCAGTACCATAATGAAGGGAAAGAGAAACCCATATCTCAGAAATGTGCACAAACACTAGGAATTTAGGCTCTTTATGCAGTAATGAAGAAGATAGAGTTGAAGGCAACATGGAATTGGGAAGAGTTAAATTACACTTAGTGTTTGGTCATTTGAAATTTTTGCTTTTAAAACAACTTAGGGTTGCAGTGCATTTGGAGCTATTGATGGGGACATAGTTAAGCAGGTACATGAAGGTCAGATACAGATTGCACTGTAGTCATCTTGTAGGCTAGTAAATATGGCAAGAAATGTATGTTTTTATTGGTTGAAGAGGAATGAGCTAGGATGAGTGACAGTTTGGAATTATGTTATTTTAAAAGAGCAATTATACCTCAAGGTATAGAAATATTTGTATCATTACATTTATTGTACTTTGTAACCAAAATGGTTTTTATAATAACTTCACTAGGGCTGGGTGTATAGCACAGTAATGAAATGCATGTTTGGTTTTGTAAACATTGTGGTGAATGGATTCTGTTCATATGCTAAAAAAAACCATTGAATGTGCTCCCTAGGTGGATATAGTTTTTCCTCTCACCACTGAGTATAATGTTTTCATGTTTAATCYGTTAAAACAACATGCATTTCTACCTACTTTTGTTTTATTGCGAAGATATTTCATTGTATGGTTATACTACAGTTTATCAGATGAGAAAATTTAGGTTGTTTCTACTTTCCAAGCAGTTAAGAATAATACTATAAGTATTCATGTATTAGTTTTACATGGAATGTGTTTTCATTTCTCAAGGTATGGAATAGAATTGYTGTTTAACCTCTGAGGAATTGCAGTGTACAAGGTTTAGACTTTTTGCTGCATGTATGTGTACATCTTCACCAATATTTTACTGTCCTTTATTTTGAATA